TGGGTATTTCAATACAGTATCAATAAAATGAAGATTTCAGGCAGCACAATTAATGATTTCCACTAAAATTAATATTTATAGCAGTGCCACTTTGTCTTATGAAGTTGAATCTCATATATCTGATGGAAATATAAAGTTAATGTAAAATTTCAATAGATGTACTCCTATAAATAGGTGCAAACAGTAACATTGTGTGTGGGGTACCTGAGTGGTTTTGACCGACCTAATGAAATTTTTAGAGGCTTTTCATTCTTAAAACCAGCCAATGGGAACTACAGTTCATTAATTCAGCGTGTAAAGGCATCTACTAAAGATTCTCGACAAGGGGAAGTAAAATATCAATAATCTCATCAAATGTTTACAACAGTAAATAATACTGAACATGAACTGGGCTTGTGAAAAATACTCTGAATTTTACAATACTCAGTATGACAGTTGATAAACAACAAGTTTTTGACTTAGAATTGATCGGATTCTCACTTCTCGCCATATGGATAGATATTATCAACTTGCACCTAATCACAGTGAAGTGGGTACAGTCACCTGTGTTATCACCATCAATATTTTGACCATTACCATGGTTGATAGAATAGGGAAAACCACAATTTTCCTTTCATAAGATGGGTAACTTTTCATAATTCTAGTGTTTTCACATAGGTGAAGCATACTGGAATTCCTCCACAACTAGTTTATGGGAAAAAGTACTATTCCATTTTCCCAGACTACTATTTAAAAGAAATCTTGAAATTTAAACCACGAAAAGATAGTTGGTGAAATACAATTCAATGAGTCTATGAATTTCAGCAGAACTCTCCATCCGGAAACTCCATCTATTTAATTGAACAAACTATGGCGCAAATGCAGAAATAAATCGAAAACTATTAACTACTACGGCGAAGAAACAAAAGTCAAAAACAGTTATCCACAAGATTTCAAAAAAACAAACAAACAAATAAGTGGATTCATCCGAACTGTGATCAACATTTGACCGAATAATTTCACAATAATTAGGCTGATAAGATTCGAAAATTGTCTTGCCTCTTGCATTCCCTACTCCATACGGTGAACAAATGCTTGGCATAGTTAATTTCCTGACTGTATGCATCCAATGCATACTGCAAGACAAGAATAGAACCTGGGCATTGTGATAGAGTGTAATTCTTGTTATATATTTTTTCTTATTTATGTTATCATTATTTGTTTCACCATTATTTTCATTTTGCTTTTAACCTTTTCTCATCTTTCTAATGAATTTTATAGGATAGTTATTCAACACCAACGCTTCTTCTATCTGTTTTATTTCATCATTTAGGTCTTTTGTTGTACTACTTAGTGCTATTGCTCAGTTTGTTAAGCATTTAACTGAACCAGCCTGTACGGAAAACGGATTAGATGAATTAAAGTCTAAATATATCTATTAGAATGCGTTGGCTCTTATAAACGAAATTAATTCCCTTTTAACTGCTTCTAAGGCCATATTAATTGGTATGTAGTGTACAGACTAGTTATATCAAAACTGATCATTTTTGCATTATTCCTTAATTGAATCTTATCAGTTAATATCAGTGTATAACAGTCGTCATTTAATATTACTGTATAACACTGTGTGATTTATCAAAATAAAATATTATCCATAAGGGACTATCAGTTTTGTCAGTCAGTACAATATATATATACACATATGGTTAAATTTTATTATCTTAGACTCAATAGTAAATAAAAACTACAACATTTTGGTAGTATTGTCTACAATATATAAGTAATGGTGTTATTCTATTTTCACAATTATGGAAATGTGATACACAGTGGTTTAATCTGATTCCTGCAAGACCTTGGGATATAAACTTGGACTGATATTAATTGACTTAAAGTATTTTCTACCACATGTTTGTTTATTTAATCGTACAATGTCGAAATATTGTCTTAATTCCATTTCAGTTTTCAGCCTAATTTGTGAAGATGTCAGTCTTCCAGGTGTATTTGTTATTTCATGCTAAATTAAACTGTAGATATTACTATAAATTTAAAACGGAATCAACAAAATAACGTAGTTTAACCTGTGTATTATGTGCTCTACAACTTTACCAAAACATTTAATTAACAAGCTGGCTTTATTTGATTGCATATTTTTTAATATCCGTATCGCGCTATCTGCAATTCACGAGCATTGCAGTTTACTGATCGTCTAATACAGAGTCGATTTCAGTCATCATAGTATTTAGTTGACTCATGATATTTGGAAACAGCGTCATTTTTAACAACAGACATAGCCTTGGTTTGAAATACCATTATACCTGCTTAAACGTTGGTCTACCAAAAATCCTCCATAAAATGTATCTCCTTTTACAAACGCCTGAGTTTTCGCGAAATTCAGTGACAATTACAGGGAGTCAGAATGCTCTAGGTGTCATTGGTTTGTGTTCAGTTTGCACTAGCTTGTACAAAAATGAGGTTTTGTTGCTTCCTGTCCTCTGAATCCTATCAGCTCACAACTAACTATTATGCACTTCTCAACGATGTCTGGAGAAGATGTGGAAAGAGGGCAAAGTACCCGAGGATTGGAAGAACGGATACTTATTCAAACTACCAAAGAAAGGAGACCTAAGTCAATGCAAAAACTGGCGTGGAATTATGCTCCTGTCCATCCCAAGCAAAATACTAAGCCGCATCATCCTGGAGAGAATCCAACAAGCCAAGCTGGATGAAAAACTTCGACCGGAACAAGCTGGATTCAGGAGAAATAAATCATGTATTGATCAAATCGCTACACTACGGATCATCATTGAATAAAGCTTGGAATGACAGACACCTCTCCACCTCACTCAACTTCATCGACTTTGAAAAGGCCCTCGATAGCGGAGTGTCGATCGAGAGGTGATTTGGCAACTACTTCGCTACTATCAAGGGGTCCCATCGACAATTATACAGCTCATCCAACAGTCATACGACAATGCTCCATGTCAAGTAATCCACAACGGGAAACTTACGGAAGCCTTCGAAGTGAGGACGGGAGTGAGGCAAGCTGGCTGTCTACTATCACCAATGATCTTTCTGATTGCAGTAGATTGGATAATGCTACTGACAACGGGCAATGAGGAAACAGGTATAAAATGCACTCACACGAAATACTTGGAGGATCTGGACTTCGCTGATGATATATGTCTGATTTCCCACAAACTAGAAGATATGCAAGTGAAAAACAACAAGTTGGCAGAAGAAGCATCCAGAGAGGATAGGACTTCAGGTGAACATAGATAAAACAGAGGTGATGAAGATTCCTAGCCAAAATCAACAACAACAGACAACAATCAGCCAGCATAAATGGGAGGAACCTGAAAGAAACAACCTCCTTCACCTACCTGGGAAACATCGCCATTTCAACTACAGGCGGATGGATCTGACGAGGATATCAAAGCGAGAATCATCGGAAAAGCAAGACAAGCTTTCATAACTCTTAAGTCTGTGTGGAGGTCAACATCACTCAGCATCAAAAATAAGATCCGGATTTCCAACTCCAATGTGAAGTCAGTCAGTGCTACTCACCATACGGATCAGAGACTTGGCCGGCGCGTCATAAAGAGCATCTGCAACAAACTTCAGACCTTCATTAACAGTTGTCTTCGCTCAATACTCAAGATCAGATGGCTGGCCAGGAAAGATCAGCAACAGGGAAGGATCTCTGGCAATGAGCGAACCAACACAGCAGGAAGAAATGGAGATGGATTGGCCATACTCTGAGGAAACCATCAAGTGACACCACTAGACAAGCCATCGCTCGAGTGGAACCCGAAAGGGAAGCGAGCGGCGAGTTGGTCGTCAGTGTGAGGGTGATTTGGAGGAGGTCATGTGAAGAGGAGATGAAAGTATGTGGGCAGACTTGGAGCGGAGTCAAAAAGTTGTCAGAAAACAGAAGGCAATGGAGGTGCGCAGCTGAATCCCTATGTTCCTCTAGGAATTAAAGGATATTATAATAATAATAACTATGGCTGTAGGTCTACGGACCACACTTGAGACTGAACCAGCACAGTTTGACTTAATAGTTCTGTATTTGTACTGCAGCATTCTACCTGATTTACACACCTAAGGTTTTTGCAGTGGTTTTGTTTCCTTTCCACTTAGATGACTGTAGAAAGAATTAGTGATTCAAATACATGCCAGTGCTTTCCTAAGCCATCACTAGTGAGCGTGCTTTGTTTAATTACTGAAAATCAGTGCAAAAATATGAAAGGCTGAAGGAAATGCTTTGACTTGTGGAATATCCATTTATTTGAAAAATATTTTGAAGCAATCAGAACTATGAAAATAAGATGTTCCATCGTTTTATAGAATTTAACAGGAATCCACTTTTGCCATGATTTTCAAATGCAGTTAGTTCACCACTTTTGCATAACGTCACTATCAATATTTTAATACGAACTCATTTAGTTTAAATGACTGAATATATTTCCTCGTTATTCAGTGTTAGCATGTTTGAATGTAATATTTCACGTCCATTTCACACCTGTCTATAATTTTGATTATCAGTGTTTACTGAAGCATGTAGATTAATCCATACGATCTTTTCAGGCTAAATAATTTGTTTACAAATGAGATACATTTCTTATTATTTCGAAAGTGAAATTAAACCATCTAAGTTGGAATACTTGTCGTAAATAAAAATAAAAATTTCATTTAATTGATGCCTTTTTTTATTAAATGTATTTTATTAGCCATATCAATTTAGAAAGTATGAACAAGGTAATTAAACCAATAGACGAGTATTATCAACGTAATTGGCTGGCTCATTTAAGGAGTTAATGTATTTTATATAAATGTATATATATGCTTATAAATATATTCATATGTATATATATATATATATATATATATATATATATATATATATATATATGTATATCTATATATGCGTAATGGATCAGGATTACCTGTCTTAGTCTTCCAAAAAATACTTTATTGCTAATTACACAATTAAAGAACAATTTGTCCTCTTGTATTTGAAAATGTCTCAAAGCCAATTCGGCGGTGGTTGCATAGCATCAAAATGTAAAATTGTCGCCTTGCTTTTCTTCATGACAGTTACACTTTACCTGTCAGTTGAACTCTGTCTATTCATTTCCGATCAGTATGTGTTCTACAGGTAAGGATAATTAATCTTTTTTTGCGAATTAATTAATGAATATTATATATTTTCAAAATTCTACAGAAAACTGTGTAATTTAATAATATCACTGAAGGTGATAGTGAAATGTTTTCACGTAATTAGACATTAGGTCAATTAGTGGTAATAATATTAGTAGCAGCTTTATTCTAAACAGTATTTTAACACAGAGCGGAATTTTCAGCGTATTTTAAAAAGTTAAAATGGTATTTGGCAGTAGGTTGTACGCCGTTATGTTATTCCATCTCAAACAATATTCAAATCCCTATGATATTTCTTCCTAATTTCCTTCAAGAAGTGCTCTGCATTACAGAAAACTAAAACTATATACAGGCCAAAGTAGTAATCCAAAAATACAAGTGGTCAAAACAATAAGAAATGGAGAAGCGTTTATGCATTATACCGGATGGAAATTCAGGTAGTCGAGTGATGTAAGCAGGTCGTCAGTTATGAGTCGTATTTACCGCTGATTACAGTCTATTCATTGCTATCTAGGTTCTAAAGTGTCTTTTTAAGATTTAACTGGCAAAAGAATATTGCAACTTTGTAAAACCTAGCAAGCCAGTGGTTCAGCAGTTTACTTTTACTTTTAAAGTGTGAGTAGTGTTCTATTTTCCTGTACTCTCGAGATATTCCATGTGAAACAACTTTCAGTACCGATGAATACTGATGTATTTCACTTAATCAAACTGAAAAATTCTTCTTATTTTTGTTTCAAATGAAAGGCTTTGATTTTTAGTCAGCTTGTGTTTTTGTCACCTAGACTACTGATAGGATTGTGGTCACATTTACTTTGGCATGTGATTTTTAATGCAAAGGAAATTCTATAGGACATTTGTTTTTCATTTGTTAATTGTTAGATTTTACTCTTTTCGCAAATACATTTAAAAAAATTTTGAAATTGTATTTACTTAGTCTTCTAATGCGCTTCATAAATGATGCGCACTCAGGATGAATTCAAACTACTGATGTATTTGCGGGAAGCATTGCATAGAAGTTGTTTTAGGGTAAACGTTTTCTGTGTGACAAAAATTTATTTTAAAATATTAAAGAGCTTGCATAGATGTGTTGGATTTACATATTCACTACTTTCCAAATAAAAAATGGAGGAAAGTAAATTCATCGCTAAAATTATAGGAGAACAGCAGTCAGTTTAAAACAGTTTGATATATGTGAGGTGTAAACAGTGCCTTAAAGAATTTCTGAAATCTTGTGTCACAAGCCAACCGTTAAGTTATGATGAATATTGTTCAGTACAATGAATGCTTTCAAAAGCAACACATATTATTCAGTACCGTACTCCTAGTAGACGCTATCACTTCATATTACAGTCATACCTGAACTAGATAACCTGCACAAACCTGACAGTTTAAATTCTTGAATTTTTCATATTTTTATTATTCATCGTCAAGTTACAATACATGATCTAGCTTTATGAAAATGATAACGGCCAATTCCAGTCCTTTACAATGGTGACCTTCTGGAATAACTGACTTTCTAGAAGATTCTCTGTTTTCTTATTTCCTAGGAATGATATTTGCATATTAGCATTATTGAACAATTAGCCTCTAGGAGTCATTTTTTTGCATTTGTCACGGCATAGTAGTAAAATATTTTGGCTATTCGTTAATTCTAAACATAAATTAAGTCTTCACTGGGTAACCATGATGAAAATGAAATGCAATACGTAGTTTATACGACTTGCTACTAATGCCTACTTTAGTGGGTCAGAGATTGCAGTTTTAAACTGTTTAGTTTTTGCTCAAACCTCTGCTCTGCTAGGATAACTAGATTACAACATGAGGATATGGATTCTGGCAAAACTTTGTCAAAACTGACTACACTTATAAGTCGACTTTTATTGGTACTATCCCGTATTCAATGAAGTGATAAAGTCGCCTGTTCAGTATAACTTGAGTCTAAGAGACGCTTTTTTCAGATGTATACTTTTAAGTGTTATACTTCTTTTGCAGTCAAAAATGCAGACGATATAACTGATAGAAAGAGTCATTTTAATAATGATACGATATTTTTTATAGTTTGGTTTGTAAGGGTTAGTTATGTTTTTACGAGTTGATCAAGGATTGATATCAGTTAGAGAACCATTGAAAACCAGGGAGCACTGGACAGCTGCTGTTTCATCCTAGTTTGGGAATCATCATCAGTATACACCCACTGCGATTTGAACCCAGGATCTTCCGGTTAAAAGACAAACTCGTATACCATTCAGCCACTGGGACCCGACTGAATGGCCCATGAACTCTAACTTCAATGGTTCTCTAACTGATATCAATCCGTGATCAACTCGTAATGATACGATACTACATTACTCTCCAGTTAAAGTAAACATTATAACATCATGTTTATTGACTATTTTTTTATTCCTTTACGTTACCATTGAAAAATAGGGCTTTAGGCTAGAGGCCTAACGTCTTGGTAGCACTGATGTTTGTTTTTTGGAATGGAGTTGTCAGTCTCTTGCCCACCCTCCCCTCTTTACTAGTCTTACTACTGGCTCAACAAGGTAAAGGAGAGCGTTGCCTGAGAATCAAACTCCGGGCCACCTGCGTGATTGGCGAGCATTCTATCGTCATGCCAGTGACGCACAAAGTACATTGGCTTCGGCAAGGTAGATACGAACCCCCCAGCCTAGTCCTCCAAAAGTGTGATTAAAAAGGGTGGATGATACCTTTCTTATAATAAGACACAGCATGTTCAGCGAAATTTTTCATTCAATGAATAATATATCAGAAACCATTAATTTTTTCCAAAGAGATTTAATCCAACGAAAGTGATTTGGCTTTCCTGAACTGTTTAGTAAAAAGACAACCAGATGGAAAACTTAAAATAAACATTTTCAGAAAGCTGACATATTCGGATAGATATCTAGACTACTGTTCAGCAAATCTTTTTACCATCAGAATAACTGTGGCCAAGAATCTGATTAACAGAACCAAACATCCATCTACTGAGGAAAAAAGATCATCAGGGAATTAAAATTAGTTCATTATGGGTAAATTTTGTTTTGATAAAGTCTCACAGTGTTATACAGTAATGTTTACTGATGACGTTTCGAGCACAATTTATTGCTCATAATCATATCAAGGTAATCACACGACTTCCTAAATTCATTTATATAGTTCCATTGTTTTTCTCTTGATTTTCACTTGATTTGATTGGTAATAGTATTTTCCATATTTCAGGTATGAGTGACGAGTCATTCCTATTGCATGTGTTGGGTGTAGACTCGATGAACAAGGATTCAGTAATCAACCTCTCTCTCCACCTACCTAGATTACTTTTTAGAATTTTAACCCTCTCCCACCCTATTGTGTGGTTGTGTGTTAGCGCATGCATTGCAATTGCTGAGCTTTTTTCTAAATTACTTATCTTCTCGGGGTCAACCATTCTTACCTTAGCTAAATTTTTATGCTCTGACAATCTGACTACCCCTGACCTACTAGTTTGACCTATGTAGTTGACCTCACAGTCATTGCATGGTATTTTGTAAATAATATTATTTTGTCTAATTGGGTCAACTGGGTCCTTTAACCTACAGAGCTTGTCCCTGAGTGAGTTTGTAGGTTTAAATGCCACCCTAATTCCTATTTTATTCAGAATCCTACGTAGTGTCTCAGATGTCCCCTCTTTATATGGTATAACTGTGGATGACTTATATTCTTTCTTATTTATGTTATTATTACTAGTTTCACAATTATTTTTATTTTGTTTTTGGCCTTTAATGATCTTCCTAATGAATTTTATAGGATAGTTATTCAACACCAACGCTTCTTCTATCTGTTTTAATTCATCATTTAGATCTTTTTTTGTGCTACTTAGTGCCACTGCTCGGTTTGTTAAACATTTAACTAAGCCTGCCTTAACAGTTAAAGGATGAGACGAATTAAAGTCTAAATATCTATTAGAATGCGTTGGTTTTCTATAAACACTAGTGTGTAGTTTGCCTTCTTCTATTCTTTTTATCTTACAATCTAACATAGCTAATTCTCCTTGTTCATTTTCTGATTCAAATGTGAATTTTATTCCCTCAACTTGTGAGTTTATATGTGTCAAGAAGCTAGAGATGTGTTCTGTTTTTAACACTGTGAAAGTGTCATCCACATATCTCCACCATATTTTCGGAGTAGGGTTAAATGTATTGAGGGCACTATTTTCCCAGCTGTCCATAAATATGTCTGCTACGATAGGGGATATTGGTGATCCCATTGCTACACCTTCTGTTTGTCTATATATTTTGCCTTGGAACTTAAAGATAGTAGATGTGAGGCATAACTGAATCCCTAAAATAATTTCTTCAATGGACAGCTTTGTCCTATGACTGAGTTCCGGATCCGCAGTTAATTCTTTTTTAACTGCTTCTAAGGCCATATTAACTGGTATATTAGTATAAAGACTAGTTATATCAAAACTAACCATTGTTTCATCATTCGCTAGTTGAATGTCATTTAGTTTATTTTTCATCTCATATGAATTAGTTAATCTAGAGTTTGAACGATTTCTAATGGGGCATAGTATTAGAGCTAAGTGTTTTGATAATTCATACGTGGGGGTATTTCTAAAATCTACTATTGGTCTTATGGGGTAACCTGGCTTATGTATTTTTATAGTACCATATATTCTACTAGCATTATTAGTTTTAGGCATTAAATTAAACCATTTAGACTCACCCAGTGATGGCTTCATTCTGCGTATTAGTTCCGCTGTAGATTTCTTAACCTTATTCATTATTGTATCTACAGGCTTCTTAATTTCCTCATATGGACCCGTTTGAATATGTTCAGTAACTTTTTTGATGTAGTCAGATTTATTCAAAACTACGGTGGCGTTTCCTTTGTCAGCTTTTGCGATGACAATGTTTTTATCCTGTTTAAGACTAATTAAAGCTTCCCTTTCCGATTTGGTTAAGTTTGATTTTGTTTTCTTTTGATTTTTTAGGGTTAATGCACATTGTGCTCGAACCTCTTCTGCTGTAGTCTTATCTATTGAGTTTAGTGCTGCTTCTATGTTAGGAATGACGTCCTCTGGTTTTAATTTATTAACTGTTACGTTGAAGTTTAGTCCTTTTTCAAGTACTTTTATCTCATTAGAGTTTAGTTCCCTTGATGAGAGGTTGATCACCCACTTTGTTCTGTCGATAGAGGATGAAGCATTGATATCAGTTTCATTTGTTGTGTTCTTTTCTTCTATTAGTTTGTTGAATTTTTTGATTTGCGTGATTTTTGATTTTCTTAATGCGGATTCTCTAGCTTTGTTGGATGTTTCAATAACAATTATATAATCTTTGTCATTGATCATACATTTGAGTTTGTGTTTGAGTTTTTCAATTTGATTTCGTACATTATTTAGTTTTACAGTAACTCGATGTAATTCTTCTCTTAGACATAATTTACTGACATGTTCTGCGGCTGATGTTATTTTGTTTGAAGTAATTGGAGTACGTAGACGTAAATATTTTGGAATTATATGGCTTTTTAAGCATCGACTGTTAAAAATCCGATGATTTGTAAATCTTGCTTCAGTTTGACTAAGTCGTGTGAGTTTGTTGATAAGCTTCCTAGTAGGAAGACCAATATCAATAAAATTAGTTCAGTCGACTCTTGAATCAAACAATTTATCCCAAAGCCTTTATAAAAAGACATCTAAAATGTGAATATAAGGATGAACCAAAACCAGTTCCTAAAGCTTGGTTTAGTAAAGTAGTGATTCCTTACCGCAAAGAAATATTGGATGAGATAAAGCGAATCTTTAACAATCATGACATAACAGTGTATTTCCGTGCATCGGACACCTTACGCTCATCACTGATGAATACACATTGAAAACATTTTTTATATTCAGTTATCTACGACCATTAACTGTAGCCAAACGTAATTACTAAAATTCTGATGAAAAAGTAGACTAATATTTGTCAGTCTGAGGTTAAATTTTGATCACGATTCGTACAATTTTGTTCATCATATTTTGATGCCTGTTTCATGACTCATATGATTTTTTTAAAATCAACGGAGATTTTCTCCTCAAACATAAACCTTCGTTATTTTTATTTCGATTAATTTCCCTGAATAAGTTCGGACCAGTTTGCCGAACGAAACGTTGGAGTTACTCATTTCCATTTCGCTGAGATTTTACAAATGTGATTTTTACATATATCTATTTTTCATTGAGCGCCCGATTATTTTTGAACTGTTCGGTCAAATCCTGATCATAGTCCCTATGAATGAGTATAGACTAGTTAGAAAATAAACGACACGGCGGATGCGTGTACTGAACTCTGCTGAAGTGCAATTTACTGTTGGATGTATGAGCTATCAATGCATACTGATATGTACTCCATGCACAATTTCAAAGTTACCTTGGAATAAATAATTGTTAAAACTTGAAGGAAACACGAGTTAATCCTGAACATCTAATGAATAATATTTCCTTACCCTCCCGTTGATTACAGCCATTTTTGGCCTTCATTAGGGTAATTTTTATTTTTCTAGGTACTGTATACTGCACATCACCAATCATTTTTCATCAAGTAGTCTCAATGGTACTGCCAGTATTGTTTATCTCCTAGAAGCTGTATTGTTAATTGTATAACTCAGTTTTAAACATCAAGTTGAATAATATTTTTCCTGTAACATTGTTAAAATTCAATAGATTTCATTATTAATTCTACTGTCTTTGTTTTTACTAGTGCTGTTACGGAACAAGGACTTCCATATTTAACACGACAGGAAAGACATAAATATCGCAACTTGTAAGTTATATTTCCATGCTTTACAGTTGACCATGACTGAAATTTAGCTTAATATAGTTGATTTCCAGCTTAAATATTGAAGAAGATTTTCGGTAGAAACGTGCCTATATAATTTTGAAACTTATTCAAACTACAATCTTTGAGAACAGTGATAAGAAAGATTAGCTTTCGATACAAAACTGTTACAGAGACCGCTTTCTTAAAGGTTTAAACTCTATTCTGTAATTATTCCTAACATTATAACTACTGTGTTTTTTTATGTCCCTATTTACTTAGAACAGATTACATCGATTAATTTTACTCCTATATTTTTGTTCTATGCTTGTAATCTCCGATAGTTTTCTAGACATCCTTATCAACTCATTATAAGAATTATCTTGGTGACATACTGTGAGATTAGATGGTATGTTTCGTTGTATCATTAATATGTGTGGTATCTTTTGACGAACAGATTGTGATTCTTCATTGGTGAATGTTTGTAGAGCAGGTTCGATCATAGGTGCTATTTCCTGGACCGATAGTGGCTTTCTAGTGATATTGAAATATTGTTATCATTTCCAGTCTACTAGAATCAAATACAACGCTTTCACAAAGACGTACACTGGACACCAGTGAATTAATTAAGAGCTTGAAACTCTGTCTAGAAAGTAATTATTTTACATTTAAAGGGATTTTATATAGACATACAAATGGTGTTGCTATGGGTTCACCAGTCTCCCCAATAATCGCTGACGTTTTCATGAATAGATTCGAAAATAACATCTTTTCAAGCATACTCACTCCTAAAATATGGTTAAGATGTGTGGATGATACTTTTGTAGTGCTAAAACGAGATCTACACAGTCGATTTCTGCGGAAAATAAACTGTCTCTCTCCCAGAATCCAGTTTACTTCGGAAGCAGAATCAGACGTCGGTGAATTACCGTATCTAGACTGCCTAGTTAAGAGGAGGGAAAACGGACATTTTAGTATATCCATATTCAGGAAGAAGACTCACTCCAATAAATATTTAGACTTCAGATCATCACACCCCATCAGCGCAAAGATTTCAGTTGTTTCAAGTCTTCTTAGATGAACACACTCTTTGATAACGGATGAGAAAGAAAAAGAAGAAGAAATATCAAACATTACTGAAACTCTCAAGCAAAACAACTACCCAAGGAACTTCATTATCAAAATTAACACAGACATTAAGTATGGACAAAAACTCATTCCGAAAACATGGACCTTAACAGTCGTTATTCCATATAGAGCAGAGACGTCAGATGATATCAGAAGAGTACTCAATCAGCTCGACATTATAGTTTTCTTCAAAACATCGGACACACTTCAAAGCAACCTTGTCCATATAAAAGACCAAATCCCTAAAGATTCCCTATCAAATTTTGTCTATAAAATAAAATGCTTGGAATGTGATGCGATACACATCGGACAAACATCTCGCGAAATCAAAATAAGAAGAAATGTACACCGTAGAGCATCTCTTCGACCACCAAGAAATCCAATTGAACTACAAAAGCTTGAAAAATCATTAGCCATAGGTATATACGCTATAGAATCAGGCCACAAAATTGATTTTGACAATATTGAAATAATCCAGAAAAACTTCAGAAATCACAAAGAACGTCTGATATCAGAAGCACTTCATATCAAGTGGAATCCAAATTGCCTGAATAGGAATGATGGACTAAAACAGAATCTGACCTGCTTACAACACCTCCCTCCCCCATGAAGTGACAAAATTAACACGAATGTGATAAACAAGTTCACTATGTAAACACACGATGCTTTTATAATTTTACACACTGATCAAATCCAACAATCTACACTTGGTTTTATTATCTTTGCCAATTGACCACTTGACTACGAAAAATAACCCGAGAGTGACGAACGATGATCAAGTTAGTAAACTTTATTGAATTGAATTTTTGATTTTCCCGTCGATTGATTGGACCGAAGTGCTCGGTCTCAGGTTGACATATCGGCTTCTTGTGCAGATGCCTCGTCGATGTCTGGCCATATAATCAGTATACACTTGGTGGATGGTGGCTAGCAGTGGAATCCAGATAGTAAACTTTATTTTGATATCATAACAGATGTACTATTACCGTTGTTATTTGGTTTAGTGATCTTCATTGTTATTTTGACTTTCAATATGTCCTTTTAACTTGACCTAAGTCTATTTGCTGACCCTTTAACTCTTTGTTATATATATGCTGAGATTTTGTAAATTCCGGTTAAGTAATAATTTGTTAAAGCTATTAGCATTAAATAGTGAAACGTCAATAAAAACAATATCGTTTTGTTTTTCATTCATTGGGAAATACAAAAACCTTTATTATGATGAATATCATATACCCAATGCCCAAATTTTTTCAAACTGTTAAAAGTGAATTTGGTTTGGACATATATAAATCAATTATAAGTTACAAAATGTTTGGACATAATTTTTACACTGAATTTAGAGATGTAGATATAAAGTAAAGGCATCATAATTCCAAAGAAGATGTAATTAGACGAATTATTCACCGTTAAAAGACTAACTATTACATAATAATTGGACAAGGAGGGGGGGGGGTTAGAGTTTACACTTCTCTCGAAAACAGGGATGAATTAGAGACAAAATACAAGATCATCAGTGTGAATTCATGCATATCACGGTGGGGAGTTCAAGAGGGTTGGGTGAATACTAAAGGAAGATTATTAGATCGACACAACAATTCAATAGATTTGGAAACTTAATAGTGAGTTTAACTCCATAAGTGGAAATCAAAACCAAAAGTGAGTGGAATGTTATGCAACAGAACAAAACACAAAAGCACAGGAACAAAAAAATACGGTTACCAGGGTAGTGAGAGATAAGTCACGCTATCTTTTTGTATCCAAAGCCTGGGTCGAAGTCGTTTGATAACAATGGCTTCTGAGAACCGAAGCAACCGTGCTTTCTCTGTGTATTCATTATTATGAAAGCTTGACTAATTTTCCCTGCATGTCCTGTGTCACTTAAATGTCAGGAAAGTGCACTTCAGAACACTTTTTTGCCTTTCAAACAGAGACTTTTAGGGACATACTCGGAAAATGTAGTAGGCTCGCTTCTCAGTTCTTGTCGTGCACTTGCGACAACAAGTTAACGAGAATACTATGTCTTAAAATGGAATAAGTGTGATGGTGGGAAATCTTTTTTCAGTTCACTCTCAATTCTTTTTTCTGTTCTTGTGGATACCTCCACTTGTAGATGTGTGCAACTATGAAACTTAATTGATCACACTAATATCTTTTGCTGCCTATACAATTTTGTCTGGTGAAACAAAATGTTACAATGAGACCACAGAGATATTATTAATACTTTGTCTACTGTGATCAAAATAAAATAATGGTACTTTTGGTTATAAACAGGCTCTACGCTTAATGTGGTTAAATTAAGGATGGGTAAATTCACCAGTGCCCACCCAAACGTTTATTTCTCGGAAATACATAGTAAAATTTAAAACTGAAAGATAGTAAAATGAAGGAGAATAGTTGGCAACACTAATTGTGTGTAGCAGATAAGTAAGTAACCATATTCTGTTCTTGCTTTAAATGTTACTGGAACATTGGAATTGTGCCAATAGAGGATGTCATCAGTAAACTGTAGTTTTACGGTAGTCTGTAATAGACATGCTTTATCATATGATAATACCTATATCAAGTACCTTTTTTCAAAACGTTTGCGTATATGCATGCACATTTGGAGACTGTATCCCTTTGATAAGAATGATACTTGTCTGTTACACTTCAAATTATGACTGTCAAAATTCAGAAAATTTGACGATGATTGAGTGATTTATGACATTTTTCAGATTAATTAGATGGTAGCAAAAAAGTATGAATCCATAATGTCGACAACTTAATTCCATAGATATTCAAGTGTTGGTTTGTAGGGATTTGATTGGTTACAAGATTTCATCATGAGCCAACAGGACCTTCTGGTTACAAGGCGAGCTTGCATACCAGTGGCCTCATGGTATACAAGATTGCCTTGTAACCAAAAGGTCCTGATTTCGAACCATGGTGGGTGCGTACTGACGAAGAGTACCAAACAAGGACGAAACAGCTGTTCAGTACTCCCAGTTTTTCCAACGATTCTCTAACCAATGTCAGCTCATGATGAAATCCTGTAACTAATTCCATAAACTTTTCATGGTAACATAATGTCATGTAACCCAGGGAGTTCATTTTGATTTATCATTGGAATGAAGATGTTTGTCGATTGCATAAATAAGAAGAAGCATTCATTCTTGTGGTATTCATGAAAGATTTAAAAATATGGTAAGTCAGTCTTTTATATTCTCCAAGAAATGTAGTATTTTTAACTCATTCATTGAAAATAGATACCTTATTTTACTGTAGTTCGTCTGAAGATCAAATAAAATTGAAGATTGCACAGAGGAAAGCTGCTACGCTGGAAGCTACATCAAATTCTGTTAGGATAACAGTTGGCTTGATCACCATGCTAATTGTCGGTTATATATCAGATCGATTTGGTCGACGATTGGCCTTGGCTATATTACTTCTTGGAGAAATTCTGCATATAGCAACGACCAGTAAGTGTTTGTTTGATAATTAATGTCAGTGTACGGAAAAATCAGTCGAAATATGTAAGTCAGTTTGCCCGCTACTGTTTGCTAATAAGTGTCAAATTATAGGATTTTACTTCACTAATTGTCCAGCCAACATATATGCCATCTAGCATGGTGGCCACATTGCGAGCCTAACTGATAGAATTCAGTATGCACCGAAGATAGGACTAGGCATACACGTATTATACTAGTTATTGACTAGTGTCCAATCAAAAATATATGCTAACTACAAACCGAAACACTTTATGGGTAAATTTTGTTTTGATAAAGTCTCACAGTGATATACAGTAATGTTTACTGATGACGTTTCGAGCACAATTTATTGCTCATAATCATATCATATCACCTTGATATGATTATGAGCAATAAATTGTGCTCGAAACGTCATCAGTAAACATTACTGTATATCACTGTGAGACTTTATCAAAACAAAATTTACCCATAATGGAATTACACTCTACCACAGTGCACAAGTTTTATTCTTATATCAACGAAACACTTTAATTTAGAATTTTCAATGTATACGATTGTTACACTATTCCAGCTAGATCGATATCCATACTTGTCGAGTTGCATTGATATAAAGGAATGTATGCCGTATTATTTGACCAATTTTGTATTTTTGAGTAAGTAGATTAAGAGGACGTCTGCTATGGTCACTACAGTGCTGTTATTAGTTGATACGATCTGTCTTATTAGATCTACTTTTTATTATTATTATTATACTTGGACTCTTTTTGAAAACTGATTTCAATAGTAAATTATGCATTGTTTTTCATACTCCGACATAATTACCATGGTAGTTTAATTAATCCTCAGTTTCCAAAAAATATGTATAATTTCATCATATACTTGGGAAATGCATACCACAGATATGTTTCAGGTATAAAAGGTTGTTAGTTAAGGTCAGAATACCTTTTTATCATTACAGTGAAGAGAACAGGAAGCAGGAGAATTTGCTTCTCTCTTAGATCTAAGTTTCTCAAAATAATATGTGGCCATCGTTTCAAGGGTAGTCAGACACATGATACCATTTACGTTGGGACAGTCACTGTAATCATGTTGCAGAATTTCTTTAGGCATCTTATCAAAATAGGGAGTTATTTTCCACATACGCAGTCAGCTACACACATACAGGCTTGAAGGCAGTCAAAAGTAACTGATGCTTACTCCTAATTTACCAATTTGTGATACGTCTAATTCCTTGCTTCGCTTTCAACGGAATAAATTAAAGAGTATACTGTACTGACCGAGCGCGCGCTTTTCGACTATTACGCTACATTTTGGTCATAAATAAAATCTCTTATTACTCTAAAATTTTATGCAAAGTGTTTGCGGAAATTATCACAATTATTAACCTTTCGAACACTGAATCCAAAAAATACAATCTTATTGACAGATAATACACATAACTCACTGTTTGGATTTGTGGAATTTTTAAACATAAACACATCTATAATTGTATATATTGTTGGATTTATATGTTCAAGTTGCTCCAAGTCAGTGAGTTTATGGTTAAGATATCATTTTAGTTAAATGTACTGAACTATATTGCATGTTGTCTTATTGTATAGTTGTCGTCGCTTTTTGCCCTTTTTTCTGTGAACTGTTTCCTTTGTTGATGTTGTTCTCATTGTTTGTCCGTTATTTTCTGATTTTGAGGGGAGCAACCCAAAAAGTTGCTTCTCTCTAAACTTTTACTTAATGTAATCATTCTTTTCTCAGGCGTGAGGCTAGCAACCCCACCCTGTAAACAAAAATTGCTACAGAATCTTCAGTATGCTGAACCTCCTTGCACCAAAAGAAAAAGTCTGTGTAGGAACATGGAACGTCCGAACTATGTACGAGACTGGAAAAGCTGCCCAGATCGCCAACGAGATGAAAAGATACGGAATACAAGTGCTGGGAATATGTGAGAGCAGATGGAATGGGAGTGGACTCACCAAATTGTCAACAGGTGAGTCAGTGATCTACTCCGGTCACCCAGAAGATAACCACACGCACACCGAGGGCGTGGCTATCATGATGTCACCAACGGCAACGAAAGCCCTGATACAATGGGAGGCGATTTCGTCCAGGATAATGACCGCCAGGTTCAACTCCAAAGGAAGGAAAGTGTCAATCATACAATGTTATGCACCCACAAACAACGCAGACCTCGAGAAGAAAGAAGAATTCTACAGGCAACTACAGGCAACAATGGACAATACTCCAGCTGGCGACATGAAAATACTAATGGGAGACATGAACGCCAAACTGGGACCAGACAATACGGGAAGGGAACTCATCATGGGTAGAGAAGCTCTAGGAGAAATGAATGAAAACGGAGAACTCTTCGCCGACTTCTGCGCCTTCAACGAACTGGTGATTGGTGGCAGTGTATACAAGCACAAAGATATCCACAAGGCTACATGGGTGTCACCAGACGGGCAAACCAAAAACCAAATCGACTTCATCTCAATCTCAAGGAAGTGGAGGCGCAGCCTACTGGACACAAAAGCAAGAAGAGGAGCAGACGTTGGCTCAGACCACTATCTCGTACAAGGGACAATCCAAATCAAATTAAAAGCTTTCAGGGAATCAGGAGCTGCAGATAGACCACAAGCCAAGTTCAACACTCAAAAGCTGAAGGACCAGGCTACAAAGGACATCTTCATTGCAAGCATAAAGGACAAAGCCGAGACACAAATCAACACTAGCGAAGAGGTCGGCGTTGAAAAGCACTGGAACAACTTGAAAACGGTGTGGAGCCAAACCTGCATAGAAATTCTAGGCAGAAAAAAGAGACAGGACAAACAGTGGCTCACTACGGACACTTGGAAACTAATAGAAGAGAGAAGGACAGTGAAGCAAAAGATTATCCAGTGCACGGACGAGCAACAAAAACAGGAGCTGAATGCAAGCTACAATACACTGAACAAAAGAGTGAAGAAAAGTGCCAGGGAAGACAAAAGAAAATATTATGAAACCATGGCAAACGAAGCAGAACAAGCTGCAGGCAAAGGAGACCTCGCCACACTCTACCAAACAACTAGGAACCTTTCGGGCAAACGTTCGACACAGATTAAGCCAATAAAGGACGACAATGGAAAGTCAATCACCAAAGAGGTGGAACAGAGAAAGCACTGGGTTGAACACTTCAAAAGACTTCTAAATCGTCCGCCACCTACAACACGTCCAGCAATACCAACAACGGAAGCAGAACTACCAGTGAACACTGACCCCCCGACGAAATCAGAAGTCCTGAATGCAATCAAGATGCTTAAAACTGGGAAAACACCGGGACCAGATGGAATCCCAGCAGAGGCTTTGAAAATAGACCCAGAGACAACAGCGGACTTGATGACACCACTACTGGAGAAGGTGTGGAAAGAGGGCAAAGTACCCGAGGATTGGAAGAACAGTTACTTATTCAAACTTCCAAAGAAAGGAGACTTAAGTCAATGTAAAAACTGGCGTGGAATTATGCTTCTGTCCATTCCAAGCAAGATACTAAGTCGCATCATCCTGGAGAGAATCAAACAAGCCCTAGATGAAAAACTTCGTCCGGAACAGGCTGGATTCAGGAGAAACAAATCATGTATTGATCAAATCGCCACTCTACGGATCATCATTGAACAAAGCTTGGAATGGCAGTCACCTCTCTATCTCAACTTCATCGACTTTGAAAAGGCCTTCGACAGCGTCGATCGAGAGGTCATTTGGAAACTACTTCGCTACTACGGGGTCCCATCGACAATTATACACCTCATCCAACAGTTATACGACAATGCTGCATGCCAAGTAATCCACAACGGGAAACTTACGGAAGCCTTCGAAGTGAGGACGGGAGTGAGGCAAGGCTGTCTACTATCACCAATGATCTTCCTGATTGCAATTGATTGGATAATGCGACAGACAACGGCAACCAACGAGGGAACAGGCATAAAATGGACTGACACAAAAGACTTGGAGGATCTGGATTTCGCCGATGATATATGTCTGATTTCCCATAAACTGGAAGATATGCAAATGAAAAGTAACAAGTTGGCAGAAGAAGCATCAAAGATAGGACTTCACGTGAACATAGATAAAACAGAGATGATGAAGATTCCTTGCCAACATCAACAGCAACAACAGACCACAATAAGCATAAATGGGAAGAACCTGAAAGAAACAACCTCCTTCACCTACCTGGGAAGCATCGTCTCAACTACAGGCGGAACTGACGAGGACATCAAAGCCAGAATCGGAAAAGCAAGACAAGCTTTCATTACTCTCAAATCTGTGTGGAGGTCAACAGCAATCAGCATCAAAAATAAGATCCGGATTTTCAACTCCAATGTGAAGTCAGTGCTACTATACGGATCAGAGACTTGGCGAGTCATAAAGAGCATCTCAAACAAACTTCAAACCTTCATTAACAACTGTCTCCGCTCAATACTCAAGATCAGATGGCCAGAAAAGATCAGCAACAGGGATCTCTGGGAGCGAACCAATCAGGAACCGATTGTGAAACAAATAGGCAGAAAGAAATGGAGATGGATTGGCCATACGCTGAGGAAACCATCAAGTGACATCACTAGACAAGCCCTCGAGTGGAACCCGAAAGGGAGGCGGCGAGTTGGTCGTCCAAGGGTGACTTGGAGGAGGTCATGTGAAGAGGAGATGAAAGCATGTGGGCAGACCTGGAGCAGGGTGAAAAAGTTGTCAGAAAACCGAAGTCAATGGAGGTGCGCAGCTGAAGCCCTATGTTCCTCTAGGAACTAAAGGATACAATAATAATAATAATACTGTATTATTTTATTTTTATTTTTATTCCACGATGTATTTTCGGTAGAGGTATGGAATTTTCAGCATGTGATTTCGGTAGCCCAAATTTTGCAGGCTGACTATAGATATCGGGTGTGCGTTGGCGGGGCTCGAACCCCTGACCACATGCGTGGTCGGCGAGAGTCCTAACCGCTATGCCACAGATGCACTGTTACCTACTTTATGCAAATATTTCAAAAACAAGTCTGAAATTCCTACTAATTTCTTATTTCATTATAGATCATTTCTGTTGCATATGTGGGGTGTAGACTCAACATAAATACCAGAGATATGGAAGATAATATTACCACCAGTCAAATCAGAGGAGATTAATAATTAATCTTAAAATTCTATTTCAATTTACGTACATTATAACATATTGACAAATTACTTATTTTGACTATGAAAACACTATCTGATTGTTTTTGATCAATAACACTCATATTATTATTATTTCTGAAAGTACATTATCCTAAATTGGTTTTTTATTCAAATGTCTAATCAGTTCCACTCATTTATATAAATGAAGAAAAAAAGTTGTCTGAGTAACTTGATATAATTCTGAGCGGCAATAGTTTGTGTTTGAAATGCCATCAGTTAATATTACTGTATAACACTCTGTGATTCATCAAAATAAAATCTTATCTATAATAGAGTTATACTCTACCACAATGTCCAAGTTTTATACTTATCTCAGTATTTCTATTTCGTTTGAAAACTCCTGATATATGATTTTTTGTCTTTCTTTTAAATTGAAAGGTTTGATAGTACTAATGAAATTAAACGTATGGCTAATAATTGCCTCTGGATTTTTTGAAGCCTGTTTTGGTGGTGGCCTTTTATCTCTTTATTCTCAAGTTGCAGCAGTGATGGTCGATGTGACAAGATTATCACATAGCAAAGACCACGAGAGCAGTGAAGCAGCTGTGCTGGAAAAAATTAATCAAGAAGTATGGGTTTGGTTCACTGTCTTCGAATCTATAGCCTTACTGTGTGCATCTCTCGGCAGCCCAGTAGGAGGTATTTCATGTCAAAGTGTTTTGAATGAGGTTTCACTTCATGTTTTCCTTTTGCTTTGATAAGTTGTAGTTAATATTTCATTCCATAACTTTTGGTCATTGTTTGTTGAAAGATGTCAGCATTTTTGTGAGATAACTGAAACCTGAATCACTGATAAACTAAGATGCTTTCTTCGCCAGTACAGCTGAAACAGACTGTACCGAAATGGGTAATACGAAATTCAGTCTGAAGCAATAATTACATAGTTGGTTATTATTTTTATCAAAACAAGTGCAGCATAGATGTTGAACTGAAATAAAACCGTGTGTCACTCACAAATGTACTTCACAGTTTCATTAGGAACTGGTATATTTGCCTGAAAATGACAGAAAATATATCCTATTTTGGACTGTTCAGTGGTATTTACCTTCATCTTAGTGTAGTGGTGTTTTCTGTGATACTAAAACCCATCATGAAATTGTTTGGTAGAAATTTAGGCTAAAGATGTTCCAGTCTCACTGCTTATTATCGTTTTATTATATCAGCCAGGCTGAGACTTCATTAAAGATCACTACCAAACAAATTCCAATAAATGAATATAGGTGAAATGTGGTACAAATGAAGTTGGTCAGTTAACTCAGGTATGACCTAGGGCGAAAGACTGTAGGTTTGCACAAAATAATAAGACTAATACAAGTTACAAGTGGTAACGGAATAGCAATAAAGTTATAAAGGGAAATAAGCCAAATACTTGACCGCATAAGCGATGCACAGTGGACAAAAACGTTGCTAACATAGATAAATGGGATACTCTTGATAGGTAAAATTAGTGGTTTACATTAAGCTCCTTTTTTTAAAAGGGAGTAGGAACAATTTAATTAATCAGTCTTAATATGACCAGTGGTAGGTATCAACTCATCCAAAGGGAGTTAAATTACCGTCTACTGTTTATTTCACATGGTGAGATTTGACTCGATGAAAAAGATCTCAGTCAGTATTCCCTATTGCTCTCCACTTATATTTATTCCTTTTTGAATATCTTTACAGTGTACCAAGCTATTGTTTATCTAAACTGTGAATTGAGAACCTAGGGTTGACTTCAAAGAAATTCCAGTTGTTAAACATCATTCTTATTTTCAATTGGTTGAAAATGAAATGAACTACGGCTCTGTATTGTATTTTAGTTTTCTTTTTCTTTTACTACAACACAGGGACTTTAATTTATCGGTATGGTTTCAAAACGGCAGTTATTACCTGTATTTGTCTATTAATACCAAGTCTATTGCTGATCTTTATCTTACCGGAGACTAACAGGGTACACAATGAATGTATAAAAGTTAATAAACAGGACAAGAAAACCCATACGGACAATCGTAATGTGAATAATGATGAGTTGAATGATGTTGATGCAAACAGTGATTATAGCGACTCACGTACAATTGAAATGGAAGGAAATTGGAAACAAAAGTTTACTGGAAAGTTAAAGGCAAGTTGTCGTAATGATTTAGAAATTATATAAGAAAAAGATTAATATCTTGGCATAGTAAATTTTAGTGTCGTATTCAAAAGGTAGGTAATTCAAAGGCTGTAGTATGACTTTTGTTCAACAGACTGTATTAAGCGAAATCCTATGCATTTATCGTAAAGTGCTTCAATGCAAAGAGACAAATTCTGTTACAAATATTACTTTTTCTTAAACTGACCCATAATTGCTGAGATTGTAAATTAATTAGGAGATTTGAAGGAAAAATGAAAGATGAAAGCATATGGGCAGACGTAGAGCTAGGTGAAAACGTTGGCAGAGAACGGAACGTACTGAAGACGTGTGGCTGAAGCCTTATGTTCCTCTAGGAACTGTAGGAAACAATAATAATAATAATGACAGAAATTTTATTTGCAGATGAAGCCACGGTGATTGTAAATGACCTGAGATTCCGACTACTAAAGAATGAAATTGAAATTATGGGGCACTTTGTTTGCCCATAACTTATCCAGGTTAAGAAATATTTTGGACGAATGGACAAATGAATGTCCCTGTACCTGGGTCGTTTATGCTTACTGGGATAATACTATAATTTAGTAATTTCCAATTAATACAAACATTTACATTTATGGTGTTTGTAATTCCCATTTTGAAGAAGCAAGCTGAGGAAGCAAAATACAAATAAGACAATGGTTTATTTTCCTCAAACATATTAACTAACTACAGCTATGAAACATACCAGCGTGAGGAGCTTGTATAAAAGAGCACACATCTTTAAATTATTCCAGCCAAGTATCCGCCAGTTTCCTGAAAAGAAGACAGACAAGTAATTCTTATTTAGATAATTTTTAGGGGAGCCTTCAACAGAGTCATCCAGGAAGTAACTTGATAGCTGCTCCAGTATGGCAGCGCACAGTACCGAAAAAATAAATAAACCTCACTTTGGGACATCAGAAGGCAAGACACAGAAGCCAAGGTATATTTTCAAGTGATGAAACCGCTATATATATAATATATATATATATATATATATATATATATATATATAGCGGTGCATGCATGCCAGGCGATTCACAGCGGAAAGCCCAGTATGGTGTTCAGAGTATAGGTAGTGATTAGACAAGGCTTGATTATCTTCCTGATTTTGGTAAAGTAGATCATACAGCAGACCATGGGGAGTCAAAAGACGGGCATACGCTGAACATACAAAAAGACCCCCAATGATCAAGGTTTTCAGATGATTTATGTTGAAGGTTATACAAGCTCGCGGACGTACAAGAGAAAATAAACAAGTGGGTGGAAGAGGTGGACAGCAAAGACATGACTTCAGCTGAACATAGAGATAACAAAGGTGACGAGGACACCTAGCTGAAAACAACAAGCACCAGTCACTATAAGTAGGGGAAGTTCAAAGGGAAATACCCCTCTTATTCACCTCACTAAGCAAGAGAGTTTCAACTGCGGGTGGCAAAGGATGAGTCTAACCAGGATTAGAAAAACAAGACCGACTTTCATTACTCTGATTTCACCGTGAAAATGTGCTGCGTCCATTACAGCGAAAAATATCTTGATCTTCAATACTAATATCAAGTTAGTGAGTACTTCTATCTGCTGTAGAGATGACGTGCGGTTTATTAAAAGTGTTTCCAACAGGTTGCTGAATACTTTCATCAACAGCTACCTTCAGTATTTCAATATTAAAGTCCAGATGGTTGGCCAGAAAGGATAATTCTCAAGGAACCAAACGTTGACCTATTGACCAATAAATGTGCAGGAACCTTTGAGTAACACCAAAACAATGTGTGAAACCTGAACGGCTTCGGTCTCCAAGTGTGATACGGAGAACAGAATGTGAAAAGGAAATGAAAACTTATGGGCTGTTGTGAAATCATATGAAAGTAATGCACACAAACAGGCGCAGTGGACATATGCCAGTGAAACTCTATATTGGAAGGAACAGATACTAATACTAACATTATTTTAAAATATTAGGGGTATCCAATCTGGAAAATGAATATGGACCAATATTACGTGTTTTGACAAAAGATATAACTTCGATTACCCGGGTTAATTACTTTCAAAATAAGTATTTGTTGGATATGGCATAAAATAGTATCTAAAGCCAACTAGAGAAGCTGTTGACACCTTCCATTTAGGGTTTTTTGGTCATATCTTATTCAAAGATATTGCTGCACCACCATTAGTTGCTAAAAGAGCTAGCGCGTAACACTGCCGTTAAGTCAGTGAGTGGCACTATGAAATAGAAGTGGAATTTGGCCAGTTCGGTTTTCATGAGGATAATTTTGATTTAAACTACATAGATTTCTTTTCGATGCTTCTTGGATGAGACTATTTACACCTCTACAGTATTATGACAGCATACATGGTAATCCCTTCGCCGGCATGCATGACTATCAACCTCTAGGTGCTAAACCATCTGCAACATCGTTTAATGACTTATTACTATACTACTTACAATAATTTATATTACTGCTATTAATGTAATTTGAAATACTATTAGGGAAATAAGGACCTCCAAAGTTGAAAGTGTACCTCTCTTATAGGTGTATAAAAGTCACTGTATTTGAAGTAAATGTCAATTCGCTGATTTGACCTGATTAGTATCTTGAAGAATAAATCACAATCCTTGGCAAAATGTATTCGTGTTTTAAGTACTTAGAATGGATGCTTAGTTGGAACTGTATGCTAAGCCAGGCTACTATCATTAATAGAACTTTTCTGCTATTATTTGCTTAGGCTTTGTTTATCATCCTGCACTTTGCGAAGAACATCACATCAGCACCCCAATATTTGATGCATACAAACTCAAGGGCCTAAAAGTTTTAGTTTTTTTAATACTACTTCTCTCAATAAGTGACCTGGTGTATTTCACTTTCTCACTTTCAAGAAGCTCTATTCACGAACACATCTGCTGTTATGAGACCAGTGGAAATAAATCCTTAACTGTGCTTTAAGTACGTGTGAACAAGAAGGTTTAATCAATACACCACATTTAGCATTTATTTCAGTTCACTTATTTATTAATTTACTTGTAGAATTTGCACCTTGAATTTCATGTGTTTAAATTTGTAATTTCAATTTATGTTTAATTTGGTGTAGGTCCACTAAGCTATATTTTAGCAACGATAATAATAATAGTAAGAGCATATTATCATTGTTCTTAATTATATTTATCACCGTTTAACGTAAAATTATATTTTGATAAATATTATCTTTTTTATAGATGTCACTGTACGCTATGAAGAGTTTGAGTGGCATCCTAATAATCGTTGTAATAGTTGTTATACTCTGTTCGATTACTTCACTGGTGGACCTACAATATATTGTCATTTACCTCATGGGTTCTCCATTTTTATGGAATCCTCAAGAAGTTGGAATATATATGTAAGAACCTTGTATGTACTTCAATGTTGTCATGGTACACACAACCGTATAAAGTAATATTTTTCTTTAACGTCCTCTGATTGTGCAAAAATGCAGCCATAATTCACCAAATATAACACACCATTTTTGTCGTATTGTTTATAACTAATGCTTTAAAAAATGAGAAATTCTTAACCTAGATCTAATGTTTTGTATGATTTTAATCACTTTCCAGCGACGTGATGTAAAACAATGTTATATAGCTGTCATGAGTAAACAGGTTAGTCATGTAGCATTGGAAAAGAGTCGTGTAATTGTCTGCATGCAGTTTCATGCAAAAATTATGATGCCTTTCACTATGATGATAACATACAAATTGTGACAACCTAGACTTCTGAACAGCTACACTTTTTTGCACAGTATTTACATTTCTTTTCGTATGCTTGATAAGACTAAATATTTTGCTTAGAAATCTGAACATAATGTCAACATTTTAATTGGGAATTGCTCTTTGAGATGAAAGTGAACCACTTTATCTCATTATTATATATAATTTAAATTTAAAAACTCCACTCGCTTTGAAACAGCATACAACGAAAAGAAGGCGAACATGAGCACAGGAAGCGACAATTACGTCAGATACATCAATATCATTTTAGTCAGTTTGGATTATACTTTCAAAAATATACAGCCACTAATTATGATTAACTCATGGATCATAACCTGAATGATTACGCTTCATTATGTGGCTCAAATTAGTGTTTGGAGACATAAGCAATGATTGTAACCACCTTTTAGTATGGTTACATGTAAATTTCTCCTTGAAATCAGCCCAAATAGTTCGTTGAGTAGGAGACTAGACTGATAAGCTTAATACATGTTTAAATTTTGTAGATGAAAATGTACTAGGTGGTTTGAGCTTGTATCTTTAGTCTCATGATCACTCACTGAGCTATTGCACTACACTTAAGGATGCTCAGGATAATACTAGACACTTTGTAGTCTTGGTGTCAGTTTTAGGTCTTAATACAAGGGTAAAACTTGGAAGGTGGTGTAGTGTATACATTCATGTCAGCCAGTTTGTGAGAAATATTTTACTGCAGGAAAGCATAATTTACTGCAAGATACTTCGATCACTATTTATTTTTCAATAATGCGTTGAATGTAAGTTAACAGCTGGTATTTTAGCTCCATTTTATCACGTTATTTTGTAACGAGAGTAGGAGATGCACATAAGCATCAGAATTAGGTGTATAATATTTGAGTAACATGAATCCTCTATTAATTCGACAAAAAGTGGTTTGCTGTCAATCTTTCCATCTGGATAATTTTGTTTTCATTGTCATAGTTTTCTTCCGCAGTATCATAGTGTGTTTCTGGTTATGAAGCTGTAGCTGAGCTTTTGGAGCTTAGGCGATTAAGTGTAGTTTTTGACTCAACAGTTTAACTAATTTCGGTTCACTAATTTTTCCTGTTTTTATTCACTGCGTGGAATTAGGTAAACCATATGATTTTGTCTTGTATACTACACTGGATCATTTAAAAGACAAGGTCTGTATCTAAAATACCATTGACTGAAACTTTTGAATTACCGTGTTACTCAGCTGCTGCTGCTGAGTTAGCTGTATGTATAGATACTTCGTCGACTCCCATAATTTGAAGTCGAATATTAGTGATAGGTTGTATGTCACTAGTAATAGAATCCAGGATGCTACTTTCGCCCTATTTGAGAATAGTTCAGAGTGGGATAGAATCGAAGAGCCTGCAATAGAACCGGGACTATCCAATTTGATTCATTAAAAATTGCGGGCAGTGTGAAAATCCAACAAATAACTGTTGCTCTTTGAACAGTAGATGACAGTCATGAGCAAGTAGTTTAATGGACAAATCTTTGGCATTTGAAACTGTGTTTAATCTGAGAATAATGAGATATAGATATATGTAAATGATGAACTTCAAACAAAACAAATAGACCCCTCTTGGATTCCTTCGCTAGTCAGGCTCAAACAAACCACATTGCTTCAAGGTGAATTTCTGGATATTAACACCACATGATTTGCTGTCCTACCAAACACAACGCTTGAATTTCATAAAGTCCATCTCATCTGTAAGACGGCCTTAGCAGATCACATGTTTAGAAGTATGCATCCGTTACTTTATCTACTTTCCAGTTAATGTATAGATGGGAACTATATATATTGGTGAGCATCACAGTTACTTATGGATATTATTAATCCTTTTGACTGAGCAGTATATAGATAGTTATTCATAAGTATCTAGCAGGTGCCTTGACCTTCTTCAGGGCTCATTTCTATGCCCTCATCAAACATTTGAGGGAGCCATCATCTCTAAGGTGAATTTTTGAGACTCACTACATTGGTCAGACTGAATTTATGAATAACTACCGTTTAGTCTTATACGGACCTCTAGGAGTTATAAATTTGCTTCAGGATGGTGGGTTAGAGGTTTCTCAAGGGTAAAATGCTTCCAATTCAAAGTCTGCAGTACTGTTTTGCGGAACCACAAGAATGTTGTGTTTACTTAAAACCAATAATTCCAATAAAAAGAGGAAACTTTGCAAAACATAATTACATGAACTTATGCCTTCTTATGCTTTTGAACGTGTGTATACACTCTAGAATATATCCTTCACATTTGTTTGCGTGAGTGGAAAGACAAATTTTTCAAGACACTCCCCATAGATCTAGTGCGAATCATTTGACAGGTTAGACTTATACAACTCCAAGCATTTGCATAACCATTCCTTATAGGATGAAGTACCATAGAATGAACTGAACTTTAAAGTTTTTAAGCTGACCTTTCCTAGCCACACCTCAGCACAGTGAGACAATGAAACATTTAAATTAGTAATAATATCTGGAGTACACCTATAACCATCATGCTATGCTCAGCCGTTATACTGTCATCGTAATGAAAACTGTGTTATGTAATATGTGATCTGCTCTTAGCATAACCACCATCATGACCACGTCTGGAATAATAGTCCTCTGGGTTAGCAAATATCGTTAGGTCTTTGTTAAGCCCAAGCCTAACCACCTTATTAGTGTCATATCTGTTAAGTCGATTACTATATTAGTGTGAGTTTCACTTCTACTCAAAAAATGCATTGGATTTATTCAGCTAGGTCATATGATCCATCCTGCTTGTGCTGAATGCTTACGTCGATTCATAAGTACTTGACATATGGAATTTACTGATTTCAGTTTTTACGAGAAATGCATTTTTTAAATGCAGAAAACCGATTTAGATGACAGAAAATTCAATCAACACAGCTGTCTAGTTCTAAATACTGAATGACATTATTTTTGCCAGCTTCAAAATGAGGAAATTCACATTCTTTCTAAAAGTTCTAACTGTCAAATCGACCACTTCGCTACGTAATGAACCAGTTTTGAAACCCTAGGTCAACTTGAATGATAGCTGTTTTCCAGACTGATTTATAACGTTAGCCAAAAATCTCTACAGGGTTTGAAATAATATATTTTTTATAAAAATAATTGTCATCATTTTTTATTGAATGGTTTAATTGTCTTTCAGAGGCGTCAGTGACCTTGTGTCCTCTATAGTAGGAATAGTTTATACAATAATCGTCATAAAATTTCGACTAAGGAAGAAATCGAAACAAAAGGGAGGAGAAATTCCATCTCAAAGTGAAACTACCAATAATGCATCGAAGATTTCCTTCAAAAGGCATATGAAATTACTGGTGTATTCTCTAGCAGGTTCATTGGCAATGATGGCGGCGAACAAAGTTATGATGGCTGTGGCTTACGGATTTCCAACTCGCATGGCCAATATCATAGTTTATATAGGTATGTGGTAAAGTTGTCACCGCATTTAATAATGTTTCTACGTTATTTTACAATATTCACTACTTGATATATTTTATTTATATCTTCCCATTCAAGTTAACTGTCACTGTTTCATGTCATTTAGATAGATAGCAGTTACTTCTAACGTCATGAGGTTCAGCCCTAGAACAGTGAACTAATAACAAATTCTTTACAACATTAAGATGACATGGTCACGGATTTATTCTTCGTATTTCAATGTTTCGATGGGAGAAAGTTTCCAAACATTAATTGTTATCACTATTCTAAGTTTTTATTCAAGTTTGGAAAGTCTAAACAGTAATATATGTGTTAACACAAAAGGTAGCACTTTCAAATGACTAGTCATCATATGACTTCATTGAAGATAAGACATTCACATCGTAGTTAAAAGTGGTTGGTCTCAGAAAATATAATCCTAGAAATTCAAGGCATAAGGAATAAGGAGAATAACTAACACTACTTTTGGTAGTGCGTCGGTGGCACAGTGGTTAGCAATCTCACCGACCATACACATGGTCCGAGGTTCGATTACCCTGCCGACGCACGCGTGATATCAATGGTCGGCCTGCAAAATTTGGGCTACCGATATCCATGCTGAAAATTCCATACTTGTACCAAAAATACAGTGTGGAATCAAGCTGTAATCAAAAATAAATAAATAAATAAAATATAATCAGATAAAGATTAGTGTAGTAGATTAAGGATGATAATAAATTATTTTGTACACAAAGAAGAAGGGCTTCACTTTATGCATAGGTGTCGCTTCAAAGTATAAAATATCTTGGAAGTTGTTTCGACTCATAATATTTAATTGTTTCTTATAGACGAAGTTTTAGTCTGGCACCTGGGCCTTTTTCTTCAAAAATGATTCAGAATATACTATTTCATTCGAAATTTAATGGTGAATATATTCAGTTCACTCCGACAAGTTTAGCCTATCACTAAACGTTTCCTAAGGTCACTATTACTCAACGCTTTAAATAATAAACAAATACCTTTGAAAATGCATGACACACTTTTAAGAAGCTGTAGGTCAGTCGAAATTCTACCTCAGGTTAGGTTGAAAGGAAACAATAAAAATACCTATAAGGAATTAGTTTCGTCGAATGGACTTAATGCAATAGAAGTGAATGGTGTTAAACGCAATTTATAAATGTATTTGAGGTTTTTACACAAACTCAGACAAAACCCTTTTCTTGGCATAAAATTAGAAGAAAAAATAGACGTAATGAGTTCTAAAGTGAGCATCTTTATTGTCATATTATCATACTTCAGACAGGATACTCAGTTTTTTTTTACCCCAGGTTTTCAGCAATTCAGATTGCTGCATTTATGTATTTCAATCTTATGAGAACCTAAAGAAGTTCATTTAATTTTACTTTCCAGCCGCCATTCCTCGGTTAATGAAAAGTTTTGTTGCTCCAATTGCTCGTTCAATGTTTTCGTTATGTGCACCTCCTGGCAATCAAGGTAAGTTAAACACATTTCAAACCATAAGAAATAAAATTCATTGCATAGAAGTTTGTGCATAATTTACCTACATACTTCTAACTAATTAATGATTACTTTAATTAAATTTAATGAATCATGGGAACAGCCAAGTATAAACATTGGTTAGATGAAATTTCCCTGCTTCAGTCATCCTAAAAAGCTGACAGTATATAAAATATTGCCAGGCTATTCAAAGACACTAGAATGAATTTGTCGGAATTTTAGTTCACTTATAATCCCATGTTTTAGGTGACTAATCAGCACACTTTATACAGTATTGCTAATTCTGCATTAAATCCTCCAACTTGGGTTTGCACTCTCGAGTGAGTTCAAAAGCATTAAATATTAAAACTGTATTTTAACACAATATTTCGAAGGGAGAATGTCAGAAAAACTGTTATTAATACTTCTCACAGTTACCTAGGTATCTAAAATTATTCTGAACGGTCATTTTAAGAGCTGTGGAAGGAGCTTAGTGAATTATTATGCGACAGATAAGTCGTTATAGTCTAAGTTTATAAAACTGATATTTGATGAATGCATATACTAATTGCCAGCTATTCCATCTGGTGGCGTAAAGTACCGAAACTGCCAACGGAAAACAGGGAACAAGAATTCCTCTATAAAATAACTGGAATTCCTTAGAAAATTCTAAGCTTGTCATCTACTGGTCTCCGGATCGTTTGGACTGTTTGAAATGAATGTTGCAATATCTTTTTGGCTCACCAGAGTATCACTCAAAGCTTACAGAAACCTTTGGAGCAAAATGAATCTAATTCACTTTTCATTTATTGAATAATTATTGATTCAAGATGCTCACTATAAATACCAAAAGACATAGTAGTGAACAAAGAGTATCCATTTCGATAACTTCTTCATCACTGTCTATGTTTATGTATCCATAATAGTTAAGGCATAAATGTTATCGGCAGAATTGTTTTTTCCAAAATAACGTCAACTCATTTAGAGAGAAAATCTAACAGGTATATTTGACTAAAGTGTTATTAGACTACAGTTAAAAAACATGTGCATATGATAATATTCAGTGTACAGCTAATTAGAACGTCATTCATCAAAGTAAATGATAATTAATTACAATAAATATATGGTGAGAAATGCTCATGATTAATGTTCACATTGAATTTTATTAGGTCTGATCATAAACTTCTTTGGAATGAATGATAACATCAAAAACTTGGATGTAGGACAGTCTGTATGTGTACTAGTGTATAAGTGAATACCAAGAAGAGGTTTCTAGTTTCAACATCTTGTATTTCAGATGCAGTATCATAACTGCACATGTAAAAAATACTAGCGGGGATTTAGCTGCATTCGAAGTACTCTCATTCGACTTTCTTAACTTGTTTATTAATACTTCACTTGGAACACCTTCTGTAAATTGAAGCCGTAAACAGAGTAGCTTCTTGTTCGCAGATGCACAGGATTTTATTTCGACTTCTGTAGCCATGTGCTTACTACGAACTCTTTTAGGTAGCCATTCCCAGTTCAGGTATCATATGCAGTCTGACGTTCATCCTCAGTCACATCTTCCGAACATATAGCTTTCGTCCTATAGTTGAGTGTGTTTTCGAAACAGAGCTCCTTTTCTCTCCATCCAACCATCTTTACTAGTAGTGGAATGGCTGATGGGAGCTTATCATGTTCAGTGATAATATTGATCACCAAAGACAGAAATGTGATCGGTCGTTTATTTGTGTGTCATGTTAGTTTCGTATGCAACACTGAAGGTTAATAGTGTCCACAATAATCAACATACTGTCTGTCCCTACTCAAAGACTAAATCATCACTGCAAGTTGCTATCTGAAAACTTCACTGAACTCGTACCATCATTTTCGTTTTTACCACTCAAACTGCCATTTCTCATGTTATTCGCGGTAATAATACCAGTCATTATTTCTTTATCCCCTTAATCCATACGCATACCCGATCTCAGTGTTAAGAAGCGTTATCAAGCACTAGTAAGCGGATACCTATGACTATGTGTTATCAGTATATTTATGGAGTGGTGTTCAAGACATTTATCTGTTATGTCATTTAGTATTCTGTCTAGATACATACAAATACTTCTTCAAGAAAAGGCTTGGTATTCTGTTTTAGGAATTTATTAAAACACGCGAATTCAACCCTGATGAATGGATAGGGAAAAGTGAAATCTTGACTTCTTTATTTCACCTAGTGATTGACGACAAGACGAAGTTGACTGAGGTTTTAGTGAGAAGACATGACTAGTGGGGTCCATCCAGTTAGGAGTGAGGATGAAGTTCCCGCTGATGACAGTGGCTGGTCGTTGCGCTAAAATCACGAATTAGTAGACTTAAGAATTCATGGGCCACTGAATCAGGTCCCACTGGCTGAATGGTATACGAACTTGCCTTGTAACCTGGAGGCTCTGGTTTCGAACTCTAATGAGTGCCTACTGACAATGAGTCCCAAACTAGAACGAAGCAGCTGTTCAGTACTGCCTCGCTTTCAATGGTTCTTTAACTGGTCTACCCCGAAACAGATATGAATGAAGTTAATGTGCATTTTGATAATGTCACTAAAATAGAACTAATTTAGTTCCACTCTAGACTTTAAAATATTTAAAGAGTTAACATGTGGAAAAATTTGACGCAAAACGAGAAAAAAAAATATACAGTTCAAAAATCACAATATAGAGAGTTAAAAATAAAATTTAAAAAAAATTCAAATTTATGCATAAACGTCTGTATATCCACTTACTAATGCATATTGAAGATATATTGAGAGTTAATTTAAAATGAAAATATGTATGCACTTACAAAATCAATATTTAGAAGATAAAATAAGCACTGAATGAAGAATAATTCTTTCAGTGGCTTCCTTAATCAGCCCTACAGTTATTTGTATACATGAGATGTATAAAGAGTACTCGATATTGACAATATATTCATATTTTCTACATAATATCGAATTGTTAAGATCAATGCAGCTATAGTTGAAAAAATATGTTTTAGTGAAAATATATATATATATATGAAAATGCAATACTGAATTCAATATTGGAAAAAATTAAGGAAGCAAATATATGCAACAGTTAACGACAGTGACAGCTTATATAAAGAGCTTGGAAGGAAGAGGTAATTGTCAAATTATTACAATCAAATAAGAATGGTCAAGATAGGAAAAGCGTCTGAACAAATTTATTCTGAAGACATAAGATAACACTAAACGTCTTGTTAAAGTCGACTTGGTATTCACTGCGTACTAGATGAGCTAAGAGAGAGAGAGAGCTGAGAGGTCTTTTGTGTCCCTCCTTTAACCATGTAGGATGGTGTTCAGAAATCTGACAACAAACATGCCTAATTCTACGTCGAATGTAACGGTCTATATGGGAGCAGTCAGACTGATAGATAGAGATAAGAAGGTGAAATTAGATTGTTTGGCCTTAATTACCAGCCGCAATATTGGAGTGGTTGTGAAGACACAGGGAACTTCAGTGACTGTAATTTTAACTCAGCACTACTTAAAAAGATATCGATGCAGTCAGTAGCAATTACTCTTGAAATGCTTAATGTATGCATGACTGCAGACCAAGATGAGAAATTCATCCCAAGGAATTTTTTTCCGCTTTATATTTTACCCTTTTCTAAATATATACACGCGAATTTTCACCTTATTAAAATCAATATAATATTTTCTAATGTAAAAATATTTATGTGCGCATATACAAAGCAGCGGTATCGCATTAGTATTTGGATTACAGTAATTCTACTGGGGACAGTTAAATGGGTAAATAGGTTTTATCAAATCAACTAGTGAAAGGCAGCTACAATATTTTAACAACCATTGCATCACTATTTCATGTACCACCTAGTGTGAAATTCAAAGAGACTAAAAATAACAGAGTCCACAAATAATACTGGCTTTATCCAGTAAAATGTCCTTTGTACAAAGTACGTGATACTCAGCATCTTATACTGAGAAGTACTGATGATGTTGAATCCTCAAGTGAAATAACAATCACTCATATATTATCTGAAGCAGTATTGTTCTGTCCAAAGCACACTCTCATAACTCACAATATTTTTCCAGCTTTTCTTTAGGAAGATTTACTTAAGTAGGTCAAAACCTATTTAAAAAATGTATACAAGGACAGATTATACTTCAAGGACGTGATTCAATTATTAGTACAATATAAAATTCTGTAAATAAGATGTATTTTGATGGTTGGAAAATAGAGTAGGTCAGTGATTTCAGCAGACCTTAGCAACAGCAATGATCCGTGGATTCGTTCCAGTTTGCTAATGAAGAGATCGGAATTTCCAAACATTTGTGCGCCTCCGTAAATAACTAAATGTTCTCATAAAGACCCATAAAATAGTTATTACAGTCATTTATATCCGAAATTCTTATATGAAATGATTATACAATGTTTGCTTAGTTTATTTTAATGAAACGCGTTTTAAAGAAACGAATATATATATGTTTTAAAATCCTGTAGATTACAGTAAAAGTGTCAAGAATATGGATTTGATGGTTACTGTTAAAAGCATTTAGACTTCAGGTTCTGAAAAGGAGACATTGTAAGCAGCAGCTAGTGGGTTAAAAAGCCATCTTGGCCTGATTCAAAATAAATAAAATCTTCGGCACCGAATACAGTATATTTACACTTTGTCGTAGCATGGGAAATCTTAGATTGCTTTATGATACACGACGCCACACGCTACTGACTGACTTACATCAGTAGTTGGATATCAGTCATATAAACACCACTAGCGCCTACTAGACAAGTCAAACTGATCTCAACACTGGACAGCCGTTTATCCTATTTGGGGGGCCAAAATTATCGGTGGTTCACCGGGTAAGACTCGGCTAAGAGTCAGTCGGAAGCATCCGAAATCTTGCTGACTACTTGAGCAGACTGGTAATGCATCAAATCAGACTCACAAATTGCCTACTTTACTGATCGCCTTTTAAGACATCAAGCAGATAACAT